ATCTGAATTGAAGTGACCCGCTACCTCAGCTTTCATGGGTCCTTCCCTGAAGTCCATCTGGTGGTGAATGTACCATCTGGATTGAAATTTGTCGGACAAATGAAGAGAGAGCAGGATAAAGTTGGCAGCTGCTGGCATTGGGGTGTCAGGTTGCTTGTTGACTAAAGGTTGGCTGGTGAAAGACAGGCACACACCTGCTTAGGTTCCCATTCTCTCCCTTTAGATGTCGAAGATTTAGTTGTACAGATAAGGCTAAATGAAAAGAATGAATAATGATTCCTTCCTAGGACTTTCTAGATTTATTTGCTGATATTGGTGTGGGTGAAGTCTTTGAACCGACATACCCGGCTGTTAAAATATAGCTCAGATAAGCTTTTCTACATGTTTTGTTCTTTCAAGTGTGAGCTCTTCTAGGCAGCCGTCCCTGAGTCCCCCTGGCAGATGGGGAAGGTTCTCTTGAATGCTCCCAATGCTCTTGATCCACACCTTTAAGATAACAATTGCCTATGATCTCTCTATTTGGTGCTGTATTTAAACTGGTAACCTTATAGCCCCAGTAGCTGTGGCCAGCCATCTTGTGACAGGGAAGAGAGCCAAGAATAAGTGGATTAAGAAAAGGATAAACCAATTCCTGGTCACATTACATAAAACCTGACCATACCTTACCTAAAGTTCTACCCTGGATTATTAAATCACATGATCAAAAAAATTAGCTTTTTTTAAAGTCACCTTGAATTGACTTTCCCCTATCATGGAGGATACAAATTATGGTAGATGCTAATCATGGTTATGGCTATCATGAGCTGTCATGGAAAATCTGTTAATATAATAGTTCTTTCTCCCATAAGAATGTGATTACATTAAGGACATGTTTGGCTGTTCTTATGTCTGTGTCTCCATTGCCTAGGAGTATATGATCTGCCAATATTTTTTGAATTAATTAATGTAGGATGAGTTGAACTAAGAGAAGGCAGCAGTAGGGACTACCCAACAGATAAGTAGAAATAGGGATCTGGAGGTTAAGAGGAAAAAAAAAAAAAACATGCTACTAAAATGCTTATTTATTTTAAAAATCTTAAAAAGTTTGAAGGCATGATAGATAGTTTGCAAAAGGAACAGAGGTATAAGGAATAGAGAGCCAAGAATGCCATCTTAGTGAATATCTACATGGTAAGTGAGAAGAGAAAGAAACCAATAAGGAGAAAAGAGAAGAGACAATTAAATAAGTTGAAAAGGGATCAAGAGAAGTCAACACAGAAGGTGAGGAGAAAGAGAGGCAATATTGAGTAATTTGCAATATTTAGTAAATTCGTTGTTGATATTATCTTTCTGTATTTTAAAATATTTCCTATGTGTCCAGTTGTTCAATATCTAAGCATGACATTGAACTTTGGAACTCTCCAGCATTTCACAAAGAAAATAGTCAAGCAAAAATTATAAGGTTGAAAGCCCTACCACAACCGTGATGGAATATATATATCATATATAATTTTATCTAAAATAATCTTCATATAATCTTAACTATTCAGGTAAAGTTTATAATGTACAGCAAGATTAGATTATCTGTTTCTTTCACACTTAAACAGCAATGGTCTAACTTAATTTAGTCAATGAATGAAATAGGCCCATTAACCCACTTGGCAAAGAGAGGATCGTATAAGTTACATGATCCTGATAGAACCAATAAACTGTCACTACCCTGGATCCATTCAGTGCCAATGTCTGACGTAAGGGTGAAAGAGAGCAGCAGCAACCTTTCCATAGACTGGACAGGCTGGCCTTCTGCATTCTGCTGCTGTCCCTTCCATAGGAAGAAATAACAATATGGTGTGGCTATTAACCATGTTGTCACTACCAGCACAAAATAATATTTCGTGAGTACTAACTTGAGTACTTACTATTCTTCATTCACTCTACTATGAGCTATCTAATTCACATACCAGCCTCAGAAATATGTATAACTACCTGACTTTATAGATTAAAAAAACAGAAAATCCTTGAAGGTCAATCTACCCTTATAAGGAAACCCTCTTCAAACCACATCTATAAAGGTAAGCTGTGCACAAAGCTTCCTAAATTGATTGAAAACGCTCTAATACTGTTGAATGTGTCCTGAATCAAACTTTTAACCATAATCCTTATTAACAGGGAATCAATATAAACAATCTAATCTTTCTGAAAAGAATGACTTCTCTTTCTTTCCTGAATAGAAATGTATTTCAGTTTTTCAAAAATTCAAATTAAATTACAAGGAAATGAAATAATGGCTAAGTCATGGAAGAAGCCCAAGTGCAGAGTATAAATGTCTTAACACAATAATTAAGAAAGTATGGGGAAGGCTATGTGAACCAGTTGGTTGTAAGTATTTCAAATTGTATATAAAACCATCACTTTGTACCCCATAATGCATTAATGTACACAGCTATGATTTAATAAAAAAAAAAAAAGAAATACACATGTCAGACATGTTGCCCTAACACAAAAATTTCATAATATAACCACAATACTATGCCTTTTTATGAGAGAATCCTTAAACCATTTTCCCAGGTATACAATTCATATTCATGGTTTGGAAAACATATTTGCACAGTTAGTTTCCACAGAAATAAGATAATGCCCAATTTTTCCCTTTTCTGTTATTGAAAATGTGTGCAAATAGCTTCCCTTTTCCCACATAGGACCTCTTCACCCACATCTTCCTGAAGGGGAAAAGCAGAGGGAGGGGAGGTGGCAGGGGAGAGAGGCAGGAATGTGTTCTCTTTACATACCTAACGAGGGAGGGCAGGAAGTGGTACAAGCAAGAGAAGAATTTTCTCCTTAGATAGATGACTTTCTCACTTTCTCACCCAAAAAAGAAAAACGGGTTTTCCATTGGGTTCCTGTTGACCGCATCTTCCTGTGTTTTTCTTCCTCTCAAGGGATCATAAACTTTAGTTGGTATTTCTTTACATCTTTTTTATTTTGTGTCCAATTACATGATTTTCTACTTTTCCACAGATGAACAGATCCAGTATTTAGAATTTAGGAATCCTGTTTGTTTCACTTTTTAAAAATAGCAGCTCATGTCCATGCAATTAAAAAGAGCAAATGCCAAGAAGCTGCATTGATACTTTTGAAAACGATACCTTTAGATAACCTATTGATATGTCCATATTTAATGTTATTGATTATGGATTTTGATAGGCATTTTGTAAGCATTTTAAACTGGTTTTGGTGTACATTTGTAGTTCTTCACTATCATATGAACCTGTAGGATTCTAATTAGTTTATTTATTCCAAGTTGATACAGTAATTGTATTTGGATATAATTATTAATGCAACTAATTAAAACCACTAGTGCAAACATGCACTATATGGAAAATCATGATGTTATTAAATTCTTTTAAATTATTTTTTTGTTATGGCAACGTATCAGATAATAAATATCTCACTTTCTAAAAACATAGTTTAGTATCTTTGAAAGTTTGAAACATTTATATTGAGACACTAATTCTTTCTACAAAGATTAGACTGCTTATTGCTTGTAAGTTAGTGAATATCATGGAACTAAAATTTAAGTCTGGCTAGTAGTTTTGGACTTTCAGAGTTTTTAAAATGAATGTAAAATCATTAATTGTCTTTGATATTTTTTGTTACGAAAGATCATTATAACCCAATGTGATTAAAGGCAGATACTTAGTAAGTAACAGGAAATTTTAAAGGCGAGATTATAAACTTTTTTTTTTTTTTGAGACAGAGCCTTCTCTGTCTCCCTGGTTTGAGAGCCATCACATCATCATAGCTCACACCAATCTCAAACTCTTGGCTTCAAGTAATCCTTTTGCCTCAGGCTCCTGAGAAGCTGGGACTACAGACTCCTGCCAATTTTTCAATTTTTAATAGAGACAGGGTTTCACTCCTGCTCTGGCTGGTCTCGAACTCCTGAGGTCAAGCAGTCCACCCTTGTAGGCCTCCCAAAGTGCTACGATTACAGGCATGAGTCTCTCCACTTGACTAAGATTATAAAATATTCTTACTCTTAATGTCTAGGAAAACCAATTACTTAATGAAACTGATTGCTAAAATAATATAATATATAGTAGAAAATAGTGAATCATAAATATTTTATAAAGATAACATATGTCTTTAGCTAAGAATGATTAAATAGAGTCATTTGTATTTTATTTCATAGTAAGAACTTAATAATAATAGAGAAAGCTCAGTGGGTAAAATAAGGTTCTTCTCAGTAGGGACTATCTCTAAATTTCTTCTCTTCCTTTGACGTCTAGTTTTTACTGTAACTTGTCCCCTAATATAGCTTAACATAAAAGTGTTATTCGTTTGCTATTTTATTTGTACATCATCTTCCTGGTGGCTTAACTTCGGGGTATTAAATAAAAAGACAAAATTCAGTTACATTTTCTTTCTAGGTAGAATTGGGTGGTAACTCAATTTTCCAAATCTAGTTATTTAGAAGGTTGCTTTTTATTTTGGTTTTTTTTTTTTTTTTTGTAAAAGTCTATGAGCTTTTTAGTCTAAAAGCCAAAGAAAAACAACATTACCTCCTTTTAGTGTTTTAAGCTTCCGTCCTGCATTTCTGTGTTTAAATTTATCTTCATCTTTTCCTTGTCCAAAAAGTATTTTAGCATTTTTTTTTTAAACTTTCCTGTGAAATGTAGGTAAGAGTGTTTTAGAAATGTTGCCAGAAACATTGACATAATTGTTAACATTTGGCGGTATTACGTGAACAGATCATTTGTTCCTTGACAAAAATATGAATTAAGAAATTAAGTAAAAATACAAATATTCAGTGAGAAATTGCTCTAAGGCTTTTTCCATCAGTTGTGTAATTTGGTAAAGCTACCTCAGACTCTAGTATTGTCTCTATGACTGACTTTTCAGTACATGCAGTGCTGACATTTGTGTGGAGGAAATGGTCACATGCTTAGCAATGCTCAGGGTCCGTGGGGTGCTGATGGTGCTGATATTCACATATTGCATTCTTTTTTTTTTTTTTGCAGTTTTACTAAAGGGAGGAAAAAGAGAGGAAGAGAAACCATTTAGAGACTGTGCAGATGTATATCAAGCTGGTTTTAATAAAAGTGGAATCTACACTATTTATATTAATAATATGCCAGAACCCAAAAAGGTAAAACCAGAAGTGTTTGTTTACGAGATGCAAACCAGATCCTAGTTGAATTGCTGGATAATCAGATTGATTTGTGAGCTTGTTAAACTGGAAATATTTATATGCCTGAGCTCTTTTCTCCCGGAGACACTCTGTTTCCCAGGTCCATAAAGGATGAAAACCCCATCGTACAGACATCCCCCAAGCCCTATAACCTTTTATTTTGCACAAATTTCTCTTGTTTATTCTCTGCTATTCCTGGGATGACCCATTGCTCCTAAGTGTTTACCTTGTACAGATTATGTATCAAGGTCACATCTACCTTGATTGTACAGAGAAGAGGTAAGAGCTGTTTTCCAAAGTCCCAGGGACCCACAGGGCATTTACAGTCCAAATACTGTGGGGAAGGAGCTGAGCATATACAGGTATTTGTAGAATCACTGCTCCAGTTAAGGTGAGAAAAACATTTCCTATCTTAGTTCATGCTCTTGAAAGGATTTGCTTTTCATATTTACATAAAAGAGTGGGTTAGAAGATCAGATCATCAGTATGTTGAGCAGGACCCAAAGTAAACTTCGAGGTAAGCAAACACTATCTTCCTGCTGTCACATGTCTTTTGTGTATTTTCTCTTTCTTTATTTATTTGTTAAATCATTCATTCACATACAATTAAGTGGATGCCATCCATTTGTCAGTTACTGGCCAGGGACGTGAATATTAAGCAGGCAGTTCCCAGTGTAGTGATGAAGACAGACAAATCCACAGATAGTTACACATTACTGGAGAAGTGTAGTGATAGGAACAGTCTGCTTGAAACAAGGTATGTAGGAAAACAGTCCAAGTAAGTGGGATGAGAGGCAAGAGCCTTGCTCTTCAATATATAAAAGCTTTAGCTGGATGCCTAAGGTCCCAAGAGGACCACACACCCTTCCAGGATGGAACCATCTTCCTCCCCTCACTGTTCCACCTAAATTAACCGTTCATGTTTCCATTTTCTCTGAGTTCTGTGCAAATGTTCACAGAAGGCTTTCTCTGATTCCCTCAAGCAATTTTGCCTACATTCTTCACTACTAGAGTTCTAAAAGGTGGGGGCTATAACTTTTACCACAACATAGTTTCTGGCACATAGTAGGTCCTCAACAAATATATACTTGAATGAATAGATGAATGAATCAATGAATGACTTGCTGGTGATGATATCAGCACTTCTGTGTGGTGTGTAGTAGGTCTAACTTACACACTCATCCTGAGTGTCAGTCTCCCCTGATGCAAAGGAACCCAATCTTGGAGGCCATTTTGCCAGATGTCTTATAATTGCCCGTACAGGGAGTCCAGACTCTCATCCAGATCCCATCTGATTCTATTTTCCTTTCTACAGCTGTTCTCTCTCCTAATTTCAATAAGGACTAGTGGTTTAAGTTAGCTCAATGTTTATTCCGCTTCGGAGGGAAAAAATTTTCTTCACCAAAGAGGCCCTCATGGTTGTCTGCAGCTGGGAAAAGGGTTGGTGGAGTAAGCACCGGAGGGAGGAGAGGTGGCTGGCACCAGCAGGGAAGTTGGGTTGCACCTGTTGGTTCTTTTGGGCTTCTGTGAAAGATTTCATAGAATCAAGTGCCCCATGACTTAAAAAACAAAATACAAAAACTGCAAAGATACAATGGCCAGTCTGGAAGGGAGAAGAGGGTAACTAAGGCAGGGAGGAGTCTTTTAGATATCCCGAAATCATACCTGAGTCCAATTCCAATCCTATGCACATGCCATGCACATAACACACCCATGCACACCACACATTCACCGTATGCACAACATAGAAAGTGTGTGAAAACTGCACTCCAGCTGGAGCTCAGACAGTGTACACTCTGTAATTTACCATCAGTACTGTTAGAGACCTACCAGACCTCTCATTATGGTCTGGCCTACTATAGCTTATAACTTGACAGGAAAGGTAAAGTTAACTAAAAATACAAAGTGACCTTCCTTTTAGACTCCTAATGATTCTACAATATATGTGAATAGAAAAACAAAATAATTTCCAAAGTTTTCAGATCGAGACTATCTACACTTTTAGAATTCATCTCACTTCGTAGCCAAAATTTATAGCCTGGCTCTTGTGGAAGGGGACGGGATAGCAGAAATAAAGTTTTGATCAATCCATGAACTTTGATTTATATATAACCACAACTCAATCGCAGTTCAAAACATTTTCAGATATAAATGGCACATAGGCTATTTGCAGAAACACCGCTCCTATTAAGGTGGAGAAAAATGTCCTGTCTCAATTCCTAATCTGGACTAGATTTGCCCTTCGTGTTTATGTAAAACAGAGTTAAAGGAGCCGCTTCCCTAGTTCAGGGGCTGGCTCCTGGGTTGGTTTCATCAGGAAGGCAAGATTTAAGCTTAAAAAATGATGGATTTTGCATATTATGGGGATTTAGAATTGTTCTGGAATAAATAAAATCTGAAATATTAAATCCATAAATGTCAAATATCTACTAGATTAAACTCTGAGATTTGGGTCTAAGATAAAATAATAGCCTGAGCAGGGTAGCAGTCAAATCAGTACTTAACCTTTAAGGAGCTAATTCTGTTTCTGCAGAAAGAACCCCATGGCTTTTCTGACATTATCTAGTCAGAGCCCTCCTTTGATTTAGTTTTCTTGGAATAGCAGCAGAACGTGGTGAGAAGGGGAGATAACTGAGCTGAAGAAAGGAAGACTTTGCCCTTCTGGGCTTAGGTGTCCATTCTTATTCTATTCTTTTCACTTTATGATCGTGGACCTTCCCACCCTCCCACAAGTACCATTCTGTAACGCAGACAGACACTTCAGACTGACATACAGATACTTGTTTAAATGCCTTATTATAATCACATAGTGTAGCATTAATAAGAACAAATATTGCATCAATTTTCTCAGAGTAATTTAGAAGCTGATTAATACAGTAGTTCCAATATATTCAGCCTTCACAATTTACCTGGTCCTCTCCTGAGGATGTTACACACACACATACACACACACGGAGAGTACTTTATACACACACACGTACACATATTTGTACTTACTCATTTACTCTTTTGAACAACCCTATGAGATAGGTTCTCCCATTATCCTTATTTAATTTATTTATTCATTTATTTTTATTTATACAGAGTCTCACTTTGTCACCTTGGGTAGAGTGCTGTGACATCATAGCTCACAGCATCCTCAAACTCTTGGGCTCGAGTGATTTTCTTGCCTCTACCTGAGTAGCTGGGACTACAGGCACCCGCCACAACCCAGCTATTTTTTTTTACAGACCAGGGTCTTGCTCTTGCTCAGGCTGGTCTGAAACAATCCTCCCACCTTGGCCTCCCAGAGTGGTAGGATTATGGGCGTAAGCCACTGCACCCAGCCCTATTTGTCCTTATTTTAGAAAAACAACTTATCCAAATCAAATTGTTAATTGAACACTGACTTTGAAACCAAGGAATCTGGCTGTAGACTACACCCTCTTAACCAGAGAGCTAAGGAAATCATTGTTTTATTACTGATGATTAAAGTAGCAGCATTCATAATTTTTGAATAGGAACCTATTACCTCACGTGACAGGTGAGTGACACAATGATTTATTATTAGAAAATTAGGTAAATTAATTTGTGTTCTCATCATAAGCAGTCTCACTCCCACCATCCAATGATCTTAGCTTCTTCTATTTGGATATGTCATTGGTATTCTGCCAATTCTATAAAGAGTGGTAAGAAATTCATATTTATGACTTCCACCCTTCCAAGTAGGCTGTGCTTTGTACTTACACAGTTTGGTGCTACCCTTGGAAGTGCTTAGCAAACATTTTTCTCATAGTAATCCAGAAGCTCTGGCAAGGGTAAGAAACTAAAGGTGACTTATATAAAAACAGGTTATATTTTTTAAAAAAAGGTATATAAAACCTATATTAAAAAATGGTGAGAGATGCATGGTATAGCATGGATGGTACAGACCAATCAATTGAATTGGGCTATTTAAGCAAGTTGCAAAACCTATTAACAGAAGTTGTTCATCTCTGAGTCAGAGAGTTGCAAGTATAACAGAATTGCCTTACAGGGATGGCTTTGACTGACATTGTTCTATGCCAGAAAACAAAAAAGTCTGCAAAAGTTAGAAAAGTGTTATATTTTCAAATGTGGAAGCCAATGGTGGTTTTCTAGTACACTTTAATTTTCCGAGCAGAAAGGAAATGAGAATTAGGTCAGTTATACATTTAGTTTTCGCCTTTCTATTCCTCTCTGAATTGTCTTCAAGGCATCGGAGTGGGGAACAGGATTGTTCCTTTCCTGTCCCATGTTTCCCAAACCAAATGCTCTAGATTCAGCTTCATTTCATCCACAAAACGCTAAATAATAACTCTGCTTGTTGTAACATACTAAAAATGTGTTTTAGAATTTAAAATTCCCCTAATTCTTGGTAAAGAACTATAACAAATGGGGTGAGCCTTTTTTCATTTAAGTTTATGGAAAAATAATTAACATCCATAAGTCTAATCATTCCAGCTTGTATGGCCCATGAAAGCATAAAAACTATGTGAATCAAATTTCCCCTTTTTGTTTGGGTTTAAACCTCTGTATTATGTTAAAAGGTGTTTAATGCTTGAAAGCTTTGACCTTGCCTGGGCTAGGAGCCAGTTTAGTCTTTTCTTGGCTAGAGTTAAGCCCAAGTCATATGATCAATAAATGCAACAGGCATAATAAATGTAGCGGGGCCTTGTCCACAGGAAGGCCACTGCCAGATATCACAGACCACACAATACTGGCAAATTAACGTTTTAAGCCTTTGATGTTTCAAATCTTTCTGAAACCTACCATCTATTTTCTTGACCTTCCTCCATCTGTTAAGTAAATACATTTTCTTCTGAACAGAAATAACAGTTTTCGGTTTTACTTTGTCTTTGCTAGAACGAATCTAACTTCTTAAATATGTATATATTTATGTATATCCTACTATATATAAGATACGTAATATATCTATAGCAAAGTAGCATGTTTTCAACATTATGAACTAGAAGTTAATAATCACAATCAGAAGGATAGTTTATTGAGCTGCTGCATATTTTGGTTTTCTATATTCTCATAATTACAAAAATTATATGCATTGTTATATAACTATAATATATTTAAAATTACATTACATGCATATAGTATATAATACATAATAGAAACACATGTGATCTCATCAGTAAAATACATCTAAGAGATGAGAATAATGACAATGCCTAGTAAGTGCCAAACACCATTCTAAAAACTCTATATGCATTGACTCATTTAATCCTCACAAAATATCTAAGAGGCACAGGAGAGAGCAGAGTGGGATTAGAGGCCAGGCCATGTCGCACTCATGTTTATGCCCTGAAACAAGGTGTCATTCATCTCTACTGTGCATGTATCCCATAAATGGCAGTGGTTATCAATGCTGCTATTGGGTCTTCATAAGAACTGTGGAGTGTACATCCAATGCCTTCATGTCACTGTACCGCAGCTTCCAACCCTGTAATCTGCCTGAGGGATTCCTACCTCCCCATGGAGCTCTGGCTTGCTCTCTCTGTGCCTTTAAAAGAGGCACTCTCAGCACATCTTTGCATTTACAAGTCACTAGATGTCTCTATATAAAAGGAAAATTGGCTCTTAAAAATGTGGGAGTGACTTTAAAACTAAGTGCATAGAATTTTAACAACGTAATGGTAATTTAAAAAAAAACTATACGGCATAGTTTCCCCTACACACTCTAGGTAAATGTACTAATCCCTGCCTTTGAGTATGTAAATGAACTTCGTAGTTTTACAAATATAATTTGAACCACTTTCAAGCAATCATTGTCCATGAGGAGATAAAAGTCTGGGGAAAATCATTCTGGAATAACTGGTCAGGAAGAGTAAAATTTAATTGAGAAACTAGTAACATTATTTTCTCCTAGCAAAATGTTTCCGTAATCTTTTCACTTCTCCTTATTCTGATTAAAAGTTATGGGTAAAGCTACCCTTTGACCACTTCTCTTAAGTCACCACCTATGCCCTTTTGAAATTGTGCCATCTGAGGAATGCTTCATTCTCTCTCACCAGCACTACTAATGGCTCCTGCATTCAAATTTAAGTATATATTTTCTTAGTTATTATTTATCTTTAATTTTTTGAAACATTTAAGTTGATCACTTCCCCAACCCAAAATGAATCCCCAGCTTTCCTTGCATTTTATGAATGAAGTTTTCCTATTCTGTCTTTCCTTATTTCATCTCTATATATTTGGCGAATACTCATTTAGTCCTTGCTAAAGGCTAGTCACTGCTCTAGGTACCGGGGACAGCCGCAAATAAAAAGAAATCCTTGGGTATTTCACCAAAGCCCATCTTGGGGGAACCCATTCTCCTACACATACAGAACTGAGATGGGAGATAGTTCAGTGTTTTCTTGGCTGGAGTTAAATAATTTATACATCTTCATGCTATCAACTACTCCTTCCAAACAGATTCCTTTTAATGATCTTGAATTAGGAAGACATAGGGTTTACATCCTGAATCTAGTTCAAATCCTAGATCAGGACTTAATGTTTTGTGTCATCATTAGTTAAGTTACTGAACTACTTTAAACCTTAGGGTCTTGTTTTTGCTTTTTCTTTTGCAACTGCAAAGTAGAAATAATAATCCTACCTACTTCCTACACAGGATTGTTGTGAGATTAAGTTCGAGATTTCATGTAAAGTATTTTAATCATACAGCATTTAACAAGTGTGTAGTTGTCTGTTCCTTTCTTATCCCTTTATTCTTTTACCCATATTTTTATCCTTGGTTTACCTATAGTATACCATCTCTGACTGCTCAATAAACTCCCCGTTTTGGTTATCTGTGCCACCTGACAGTCTAGGTATCCAAAACTATGGTCCTTTTCTTCTCTTGCATTAATTCTCTCTCTTAAATTTCTCATTTAGATCATTGTCTCTATAATTTTTCAGGTCAGTGGAGTTGCAACTTATGAATTCCTTCTCCTTAATCTTATGAGAGCACTCACTATTGAAACTTGGAGGGTGTTCGAGTACATTATCCATATTTTGTTATCATATTGTTCCCAGTTATACAATAGAATTGATTTCCAAGGATGCTTTTTGAGTGAAAAACTAAGCAAACAAATGCATTAAAATTAAAGCAGCTGAAAGACTAGATAGAGGTTATATTGAGAACAAAGAGCAGGTGCAATAGAGTGAAAGTATTAGCGGTATGAGAACGCTGGAGCAGGGCAGGGCATTCAAATATCTAATCCTGGAGATCAATAATTCCTAAAGCTTCTGAAGACTTAGAAAACAGGGGACTATTGTCAAATCAGAGTAGAGCCCTTGGAAGAGCAGTTGGCTATTTCATTTGCCCACGAATAGGCGAGTATATCTTAGTTCCTTTCATTCTGAGGAGGAAGATGGAAGTTTGTCACTGGAGTAACAGTTTTTGCCATTGCTTTCATACCCTTAGCTGTTTATGACCCAAATGCAATGCCTCAGGAAAAATACTTGAGGTTTGCCCTTAATCAGAGCTGAGCTCTGTGCCCACACGGCTCACCCACTGCTGTTGTATCCTACCCACACCATTAGCCAGCCTTCAACTTGCCTGAGTGTTCAGTCGCTGCAGGAATAGCATTCCTCATAGTCTGCCCTTGAATAATCCAGCTGCCACATTCATGCTACATCAATTACAGCTATTGCTCTGCCATGATAATCCCATTATAGGTATGTTCCTCATTCTAGGTGGACTCTGGGGGAAATGAGTCAATTTCTAAATAAATACTCTTGTATTTAGTATCATTAAAATAACCAAGAGTCGTTAAAGAGATTTGGATAACTTTTCCACATGTGAAAGAAATACTTGTCCAGTCAGAAGGGATATGCTGTATCACGTTCTCCTGTTATTGTTCATGAGGAAAATACAAGCAAATAATGTGTTCTCCATATGCCGAGTACCAAAGGTGGCCCCTAATGTAATACTGAACCACCAGAAATAATTATCATAGGATGTAGGCATACAGAAGTTAATATGCAATGAAATATGCAATAGTTAAATATATATGATACTTTAACAATTATTTTTCTAGAAACTTGTTCTTGTTATATTGCAGTTTTAATTACAAATTTAAAAGATCTGAGTTTTGTGTGTTGGCTATAAAATGGTCTATAATTTTGAAATCTTCAATAGAATTTTAAAAATTTTGAACATAAACAAGCGCCTATTTCAATTTAAAAGAAAGACATGTTTAAATGTTTTATAGCGTGAGACTAAGAATTAATTTTTAGCTAAATGATTAAAATTTCTGTAAGTAACTTATGTGCTGTTGGTGGAATTTAATCAGAAATAACTCAAACATGAATCACAGGAGGAAATAACGAATCATATGTCCAAATTAGCATTTTTCAATTGAGTAATTTTTTTTTAATCTACAGTCATATCCACCCTATTTCTATTTTTGAAACGTATCTGACTTTATTTTCCGTTTGTCAGGTATTTTGTAACATGGATCTTAACGGGGGAGGCTGGACTGTAATACAACATCGTGAAGATGGCAGTTTGGATTTCCAAAGAGGCTGGAAAGAATATAAAATGGTAAGATGGAAGAATTTACCGTGGTTTTGATGTTTGATCATGAGGTGATCTTTACCATACTACATGATAAACCTCTGCATTTTTAGGGTTTTTTTTTAGGTACTTTTAAAAAGTACCTCAAAAAAATGATACATTAGTTGCCTTGTTTTCATTAGACACAAAATACTCATAAATCATTTTTCAATAAATGATTTCCACGTGTGCATAAGAAAGAAAAATACATTACTGAAATTATTTGGTGAACTCTTGTCTGTCTTTATTCCTAGCTGAATGATGGTGGGGGAAGCTAGAACTCAGACCTAGACTAGGTACATGACCCAGGACACGAGAGTTCTGCAGAGCTCTGTGGAACAGAGTAGCCGATAGCGTTGACCTCACTCATGTGGCTGGCAGGTGACTGGGAACTCCTCCATGTGGCCTTTCCCTGTGGCTGGGCAGGGCTTCTCCCAGAGTCTTTAGACATCTTCTGTTGCAATTAGCATCCCTCAACCACAGCACAAAAGTAGTAGCTGATTCAGGCCTTTAAAAGTCTCATTAGACCCCAAAATGGTACAGTGCTGTTTCTGCTGAATTCTGTTGATTATAATTGATCGCAGGACAAGCTCAGATTCAAAGCAAGAGGAGTACACAAAAATATGAAATGTAAGACATGGTTTACTGGGGTCACCAAAATGACAGTAGACATTACTATTGTCACCATTCATGATAGCTAGGTTTGTCAAGGTTTAATATGTGCCAGCCCTATGTTTAAATTCTTATCTAATTTTTCATACAACCCAATTCACTAATCCTATTCCAATTTTGAGAGGAAAATGAAATTAAGGAGATCAGCTCATCCACATAATACAGTAGATGGTCAAAATCATCCATAATCCAATGAGCACATAGTCAATGTCTCCAATCTTAACTATAACACCTGCTCACAAAACATTGGTCACAGTAATGGAGCAGGATCTTTATGGATTGATTCTCATTCTTTTACTTCTAAAACTTCTAGATAATTCTTGTCTTGGCATTTTGACAAATTTCTCTCGCAGAAGCTAAAGAAAAAGGTGATAAAAGTGCTCTACCAGCCTCAGTTCTGTTTTGATATTCTCGTAGACAATGTGTAAAAACTGTGGTTGGTTGTCATCAGTTTACTCAATTGGTTCATAGTTGGTCAAACGACACAAGCAAAGATTTCTAATAAATGGACAGAGGTCTGTAGTGATGTCATTGTGTCTACTACAGATAATTGAACACTCTGAAAGAGTATTAAAAAAAATTTGGAGTTGTTCGAAGCAGAAATCTTGCTGTCTTTAATAAACCGTAAACTAAAAGCAGAAATGTAGGCTAAAGCAACAAGAAAGAATTCCAGACACGAATGTAAAACCTTTCACTTAGATTAAAAATATAAAAAGTTAACTTTAAGAATATAGGATAAATGTGACAAATTGGTTTAAGAACCTTGTATTTGAAAGATAGATTTATTTGGCTATGAGTTCATTTTGTGCTGTTGGCTACTAACAGACACATATTAGTGCACTCAGTCTACATTCATATCAATTTTGGGGTAACAAAAAATGCATAACTCACTGGTGTCTGCTATGATCTGATTATATTAAGAATATATTAGAGGTTTGCAAACAAGTGAACTTACCCTAGAGATCACAAGCAGGATGGGAAGAATCTGGAAATTACATTTGAAGCAGATGAATACCTGGAGAAAACAAGAATTCATCACCAACATGTCTGATCGCTATTTTTATTAGCCAGAGGCAGGTATGTAGTACTGGAGCCTGCTACTCAAAATGTGGCCCAGGGACCAGCAGTGTTAGCATCATCTAGGAACTTATTAGAAATGCAGAATCTCAAGCTCCACCCCAAATTCACTGAATTAGAAACTTCATTTTAACACTGCTTTGGAGGGAAGTTCAATAATGAATGGAAGAACATTCTTCAGAGAGGCAAATTTTGGCTAAGTGTAAACAAAGCTCCCCAGTGGTTAATTCTAACATGAAACGGACTGCCTACTGAGTGGCAAACATCTTCCTCTCTTCATTGGAAACACCCCAGTAGAAGGTAGGTCATCATCTTTCAAGATTGTTATGGAGAATTCGAATGTTGGGTTAGATTCTAAGACTTCTTTTTGCCTATGGAATCCTAAAAACACATGAGGAGAAAAGATTATCTAAGTCCTAAAAGAGGACTTTGAATTGTATTTATATTAATAATTTGAGTCTTCACTCTGCCATTTACAGGTGGAGTGGCTTGGGCATACCTTAGCTTTCTCACTTATTAAAATACAACAATAATAATACCACACCTGCCTTGCAGGGATGTGATGAGGACTAGAAATAATATAAGTAAAGCACTTTGGTCCATTGAATTTTCAATGAACAGTAGTCATTGTCATTATCCAAGATTAAAACTTCAAAGACTGCCAAGATTTTACTTCCCTCTGCCTAAAGTATTATTTTTCAAACCACCTTAATTCGTGATTAAGTTTTACCACTAAAATAAGATGTGAAGAAAATATCTGAGAATCAGACTATAGATACAGATTCAGCCAAATCTGAACTACATTAGTACTAAAATGAATGATAACAGAAAAATAAATCTTAAGTTATCATTGTGGTGATTTTCCAAAATGGTGAATTATTAGCTGTAAACATCTGCAGCCTTGGCAAGCGAGGCATGTTGAGTAAGGGATACTGACTTGCTAAGTGTGGGATCGATTCATGTTTTGTAGATATTTAACAAATATATCCATTTCAATGATATGGAGCAATTTTTTTTCATTATTAGAACAAGTCTGAAATTACTCCTTTAATCACAGTTTTTTTATGGTGTTGACCTCATCCCCCTTTTTAAATGAGAAAGACTTCTGTGCTTTATTCAAACTTGAAATATTGATCAGTTGAGTGTCAATTCTGCATTGTCAAAAAAGGAGATAAGCTCCAAACTTCTGAAATACTCCAGCCAAAATGAAGCTAAAATTTGTTTTGATTAAAAACATTCATATGTTTCAACTTGGTTGGACATGATATAAAATGTTTGGTTTTTTTCCTCCAGTGCTTTTCTTTCCCCTAAAGACAGAATAACATGACTCTCCCAGGGATGGACACAAACTCCTGCTAGTTCTTGTCCGTAACACCTACCTCTATTCCCTGCATCCAGAGAACTGGCTGCTTAGTTCTTCAGCTTAGGGTGCATCTCCTTAGGGAAAGCAAGATCTTGGCAGGCACCACGTGGTCCTCAATTTTGACCCGTCTACTGTCATCTACACTAGGATACTGGACTTCTTCCTGGGGTATTCAGTGTAGGAATAAAGTTTTATTTTTTCTTCATTTCTGTCTTTCTTCTCTCTTTTCCTTCATAATGGTTACTATCAATGGGCTGCTTCTTGCTTCATTAGATTTCCAGAAAAACAGGTGAAAGTTATCAATGCATGAAATGACAAATGCATATTATATGTCATCACTATTAATTTTAAACCTCTCAGTATGGAAGATTTGCAGTTTATTTGAATCTTACCATTGACTTGAAGCCTACAAAAGTCTTTCACCTAAGCTTTGTTTGCCCTCAACCTTCCTTATTAGGAAATTCAGCAAAGGTGTTTGCTGAGAGAAGAAGAAGGCTAGAGTGGGCTTTTTAATGAGACACTTAGGAAACTATATTAACCCTTCAAACCCTAAGGAGACCATTTACTGGCCTCCAGCAATAACACTTAGCAGCAGTACTTTTGCATATAAAGCCCAGGGAAGCGTTCCAGAGAGGACCCTAAGCAGCCTCACTTTGTACTGCATTAAGCCCTGGAGACAAACTTTCTTTGTTTTGAAAAGAATTCTCCCCACAATCAGAGCTTCCTATTGACCAGAAAACTTTAATCGAAGCACCATATTTTCTGGGAGTTGTTTCTGGAGAGAAATTAGGGCTTATATTCAACTGCATTTTAACATCTTCACCTTATAAAGAAAAAATGCATAACATGTTAAAAATGTTTAAACAAAAAATTATTTTGCTCTTCCTCGGGCCATTTCAGTAGATGCACTGTTTAGATGTATGGTAAAGCATCTTTAGAAAGCCACAGCTCGGTCTTATCTGTTTTCCTTAATCATTTGTATGAAAAAAGATGAAACCCTTAAGAAATGCATGGACTGTCTGGTTTCAATTTTGCTTCATCTATAAAAAGTCAACACTTCCTGTGAGCATGAACAGACAAAACAAATAGAGTATCACAGACAATTATTTGATTAACTGGGAAAAGAACAAGCCAAAATGGAGCATTTCTGCAGGTTTTGGCAAATGCAAATGCATGGTGGTGTTTTCTCTGCCTACTTTTTTTTTAGAGCACGATGTACCTTTTAAGGCCAATTTTAAATCAACATTCATTTAGATGAAATGTCACTGTCTTTTTCCCCCTTTCATTAAAGTTCTAGAGGAGAAATGAAATTGATTGATGGTTTATCTGAATTACAGTATCGACATTTATCATGTGATCGTGATTTGGCATCACTGAGCTCAGTTATTTTATGGAAGTATATGGCATAGCATTCCTGGGTTTTATTCATGAAAAAAGAAAGACATTCTATTTTATTACTATTACTTCCTCATTCATTGCTGCTTTTTCAGTCAGCACAGAATTTTGTATAAGCTTTCATTTTTATTTTTAGGAATGTTACAGGCTACTTGGGATAAAATAAAGATCGGTGGTAAATTCTCATGTGCAGTAAGTGTAAAACTATTCGGGGCAACAACATTGGCTATATCTGTATTTTAGGCATGAATATGAATTTTTTAAGGACAGTCAAATATATACAATCAAAAATTTCCTCTGCATGAGGAGGTCAGGATGAAGATGGGGTCTACAACCTGCCTTTTCCCTCAGATATTTTGATGTGATGAATATAATTCTTTTAGATTTTTCACTCGGAATAGTATTCCACATCATATATAATTGGTTCCCTGGTTTTTTTTCATAGCAGATTTACGTGTGGAACCTTTTAAATGTACGAATCTTTAAGCCTACTCCAGACGTATTGAATCAGAATCTCCATGGGGGAACTAGGTCACCTATGTTTTTAAACAGTTGCACAATTGTTTCTGCTGTGTACTCCTGGTTGAAAGCAACGGTGGTCACAACTATGAATATTATGGTGTGAGGCCTTCAAAATGTCTTTTGTAGATCCTAAAACTTGTGAGATGTTGAAAGAGAGGAAGTAAAAGAAGTAGGACCAAAGGAGAGTTGAGACAAGTCCTCTTTTTTTAAAACAGTATCTCACTTTCTTGCCCCAGTAGGGTGCTGTGGTGTCACAGCTCACAGCAACCTCAAACTCCTGGGCTCAAGCAAGCCTCTTGCCTCAGCCTCCCAAGTAACTAGGACTACAGGTGCTGCCCATAACACCTAGATATTTTTAGAGACAGAGTCTCACTCACGCTCAGGCTCATGTCCAACTCCTGAGCTCAGGCAATCCACCCACCTTGGCCTCCCAGAGTGCTGGGATTACAGGTGTGTGCCACAGCACCCGTCCGACAGGTGCTCTTCAGCCTTAGGAAGCAGAGGTAAGACTGAGGAAGCCGTCTATGCTCTCATCCGTACTATAGTTTAGCCCCAATTGCAATGAGTTGGTTTTAATTTCTTATTTAATAATTTATTTATTGAATTAAAATGACAACATTCAGTTGTATAAAGCAACACTCAACTTATTATAATAATACATTGGTCCCTAGAACCTGAGAGCCTTTTAAATAATTATTTCACTATTCCATTATTAATTTTCAGGCTAAGACAACACCCTGGATTGTTTTTATTTTCTTTCTCATACAGAGTGGAAAGGAAGCTGCTTACCCACGAATAGCTCACAGTCATGTGGAAGAGAGGCAAGGGAACAGAAAATCTCTGTGTATTGTGATATAGCTTTTAACTGTAACAATAACGAGGTTTTTAAGACTTTCTGAAGAATGAAATGAGATAATATCCCTAAAGCACTTAACTGAAGGCGGACACACATTCAGTTAAGTGCTGTAGGGATGTTATCTCACTTCATTCTCCTGCCATAAAATATGGAAACGATGTTTTCAATCCCTGTTTTTCAGACAAGGAAACTGAGGCTCAGAAGTGAAGTTGAAGGGTCCACAGCATATATGTGGCAGCTCAAGGCTTCAGTTTGGAGCAGAGATAAGGGGAAGAGGTTCCTTAATCCAAGCCAAGCCTTTGTTCCTTCCTGTCAGATCTGTGGTCTTGCCTGATAAATTATTCAACAGGCAGTTTACGAATGTGGGAACCCATTTCCCTTCTTTCACGCATTTTTCATCTTCATGATGAAGCGTCATTTCTGCATCGCTGCACTGACTGCTCGAAGGTTTCCTCCCTACTCTGTCTCTCTAACAGTTGTTTTGATTCACTCTAGTCAAAGATCTTGCTCCCACAATCGGGCACATTTGGACAGTTTCGGTAGGGTGACCAGACGTCCCACTTTTGGCGGGACAGTCCTGATTTTTAACAATTTGTTTCTCATCCAGCAGCATTTAAAAAAAGTCCCGATTTTTGGAAAGAATACATGAATGGGCGGGAGAACAGGAAGGGAATATACGGTTTTTGGCTGCCATGTGGCTATTTCGCCAGAATATGAGTTTTATATTATTTTTGTTAATTTTATAATGTTAAACTGTAATAATAACGAATAACTGCTGAGAAGTGATTATTGAGAACTGCATATCAAAGTTTGCATTGTTGTCAGGCCCTGCCCTGCCCCGTCCCCTGCCCTGCCAGTCCCCAGCCCCACCCCAGCCCCTGCCCCACCCCCCAGCCATGTTGTCCTGCCTTACTGATGTTAAAATCTGATCACCCTAAGTTTTGGGGAAGTTTCTTGAGATAGAATTTGAGTTTCTAAAAGCAAATTTCACTGGTTTCTTTTTAGTCGTTTCTTCCTGAAAGGATAAAACAACTGTTTAGGAGGGATATTTATCTCCACTCAGAGAGATGTCCAGGCCTGCACGTCCAGACAGAGATGGAGGTTCTTACAGGAATGATATTCACGCTTGTCCATTTCAGAGGATCACCCCAATCACTGCACTTTTCCCTGGGAAAGCCGGAGAGCTTTATCCACACAATGCTTTCAGCGGCATGGAAATATGTGACCCCAAACTTAACACTCCAGCACCCCCAGACTCTCCCTTCATGTTTAGTGTAATTGTTGAATCCCTGCTCAGTGACTACACAGAGCAGGGGGTCATCAAGTGGCTACAGGGAAGGTTTTGACATGTCTGAGCTGAAAAAAAGTGCCAGGGAACTCCCAGGGGTGCTCTTACTCTTCCCAGGGGTACTGCAATTGAGAAAGTGCTAATTCTTTCACTTTCAGCCCCCTGCAACTTTCTGTTTTGCTTATGTGCTAGAGAAGGTCAGCTTTGCTCTTCTCCCTGGTATTCAGCACCAGCTGCCATAAAAGCATATAAAATTCTTACCACATGTGGTGAAATTGGTCTAATATTTCCTGCCACCATGGAACTTTTACAAAGTCTGACTTAAGCATCTTAAGAACAGAAAAGCAAGAAGCCAAGGGAATACTAAGTTCAATGGGTCCTGCTTGGCATTGCAGGTACATGGTCTTCAGACCATTATACCCCATTGCAGTCTTCACCAAGGGTGTTCAGTGAAGCAAAATACTAAGTTAAATTGGGTAATAACTTTAAAAATGTGCATACATACGTTAATCTATTTCGTTTTAACTTTAAATCTAAAATACATATGTTCATTTACACATTTTTTAATACGGAGCCAAAGCCTGAAATTCTAGGTCAGTGGGTGTTTCATAGAATTTGCCTATACATAGAATGCATACAATCTCAAGTTTCAGTTGCTTTTAAAACAGAAAAGTACATAAAGACAAGTGGCAAGGCCAAATGTGGCAGCTCACACCTGTAATCCTAGCATTCTGGGTGACCAAGCTCAAGGATTGCTTGATCTCAGAAGTATAAGACCAGCCTGAGCAAGAGCAAGACCCCATCTCTACCAAAAAATAAATGAAGCCAGGCATCATGGTAGGCACCTGTACTCTCAGTTACTCAGGAAGCTGAGGCAAAGGATCACTTGAGTCAAAGAGTTTGTGGTTGCTGTGAGCTATGGTAATACCACGGCCCTCTACCCAGGGCTACAGAGTGAGACTCTGTCTCAAAAACAAAGTAATGGCTCAGCGCCTGTGGCTCAAGTGGCTAAGGTGCCGCCACATACACCTAAGGTGGCGGGTTCGAATCCCCAGCCCGGGCCCGCCAAACAACAATGATGGCTGCAACCAAAAAAAAAA